CTGCAGCTCCTGGCACACACTGGCCAACGAAGCACGGCCGCCTGCACACCAAGGGCTGTAAGACCACGCATCCCAGTGTGACCCAGGGAACCAACATGGCTGGCCAGAAACCGCACACACCAGGACTACAGCTCCCGCTGTGTTGCGAGAAGCAGTTTTCTCTGCTTTCTGACCCTGCAGGGACACCAGGGCTCACTCCTCTGAACCCCCACCAATGCACCCAGAAGCCTCAATACTGGCTGGGGGCAGCCCCTGCCACCAGCTCCAACACTGATCAGCAACGCCGAGCAGTGCCACCCTGCAGGCACCGCCACCCTCCCCACGAGCTCCTTCCCCAGGAGCTGCCAGCTGATTGCACGGCTCCACTCACCTTCTCCCTTGGTGCAGCCACGGCCCAGCAATGCTCAGCGACCGCTCTGCTCCTCCCTTGGTTGACACCAACCCCTCCAACGGCTGCCTTGCTCTTAAGAGCAGCACACACCCGTCCACCCGGAGCAACCCTTTACAGGGAGGGGCCACTGCCATCAGCCTCACTGCCCACACCTGGGGCCCCTCCAGCCCCAGCCCACAGCTGGAGGCCATCACCCACCCCCACAGAGCATCATCACCCCTCCCAGCCCCTCACCTGGGGCAAAGGAAGCACAAAAGGCAGCCAGCAAGTGTTTATTCAGTCACACACAGACCAAGTCCCAGAAGGGAGTGAGTCTGCTCTGGGGCTCAGGGCCCCTAATGCTGCCCTTGGCACACCTTGGCACTTGTTCCAGGTCACGCTCCTCAGTCCAGTCAGGAACAGTCAGTCGGTTCCTGGAGCAACAAGCTGGTGGGCAGAGCTGAAAACTGCCAAACATGAGGAGCAAGATGCAGGACAGAAGAAGGCGGCTGGCTGACCAGTACAGGGGTAGAGAGAAAACAAGAGGTGAGCACCAGGGTGGTGAGAGGATGGGGACAGGGAGCCCAACATGGATATGGAGGAAAAAAAAGCAGCAGGGAGAGAAGAAAAGGACTCTGTGTGAACAGGTCAGCTCCACAGACAACACGCCTTGGCAAGGCCGGAGCGATTTCAACTCCTCAAGTCACCAGCAAGGCCAAGGGATACAGCCCTGAGCACACCCTGCCCATAAAAGCAAACGCTCTTGCTGCTGTCGCAACGTCTCGTCCCGTCCTTACAGCAGGGCTGCAGGGAGGGAGCCCTGCGAGGTGCAGGACGAGGCCGCACCGCCACCAGAAGCTACGGCTGACGGACGCGCCGCGACAGCCACGGCCCTTGCGCTGCTGCTGCACATCCTGCTGCTGGGTCAGTGACATCAGGAGTGAAGTGTAAAACTTTAAAGAGCAAAACAAAAAATAAAGAACAAAGCTCAGCCCTTTGCTCTTTAGTATACAGGTGGGCATATGCTTGTAGCAGTGGTTTTATTAGGTGTGTAAGTATTTGGTTCTCCTTTTGCATTCCCTGAACTCGTACAGCTCTGAGCTGATGCCATTAGGCTGTCTGTCTCCAAAATACACACTTACAACCTGACGAGGGGTTTGGTGTCTTCCAGAATTAGCAGGGACATCTGGCCAGCTGCACCGCCCGAGTACTACTGCCAAATCCATCAGCTCTGAAGATCTGCTCCGATGGGAAGTTCATAAAAATCAACATTCCTCGAGAAAGGTTTCCATTTGGTAAAGTCTCTTTCTAACTGAAGTCAGGGTTACACACTGTAGGGCAGTGGTCTCTGTTCCCTCAACTCAGCTTTCAGAGGGCCAGGGCTCTGAATCCATCCTCAACAAAACCCACATCAGCTAACCAGGATATATTCCTGCAGCTGCCTGGTTCCTCTTCATCATCTGCAAAAATCCCAGTGCCAGCAGCCAGCACCGCGTCAGCTGACACACCTCTGCTGCAACACCCTCCACCTCCACAGCCACGGGGCTTTCCGCTCATCACCTGCCCCGCGCGGAGCCCAGTGTCGGACGCTGCAGCCATTGTGGCCCTGGCACCTACAGTACCAAAGGACAGAGAACTGCCACTGTGCTTGCGAGAAGTCACCAGCCTGGGTCCTCCTCTCTCCTACCCAGCTCACCTCAAATACTCAGCCGATTCCAAAGGCAGCCGGCACGGCACCTGCAAATCAAAGAGAAATGCTTCATCGAGCTGCCATGGGATCCTCTGCACTATAACCCTGACCCAGCCGACAGCTGCCTCGCCGTCCTGGAGTGCTCAGCAGCAGCAGCAGCGGCGGCTCCGCCCCTCCCGGCCCACACGTGGCACCTGCAAAAAACAAAGCGAGAGGCACAAGCTGAACCTGCAGCCTGCCCACACCGACTCCCACCCCGTGCCCCGTTACCTCGGCCGCTCGTTCACAGGTCGCCACATCGAGGCCTGGGTACCACCTGTAAGACAACAGGAGATGCTTCCAGCTTCACCAACAGTGAGACGCCTGAAAAATAACTGCTGCTTCGGCCCACTTGTCTCACCTTGCCCAAGTCACCGCCAGTGCCAATATCCTGCTTTGCTCATTGCTATGCACCTTCAAAATAAAATACCCCAAACCGATAAACTAGTCATGTAGCAACCAATCTTCTCCTCTGACACCACCTGAGTGACCCACCTTCTTACAGTGCTCTGCTCGCTGCCTCTGTCACTCTTTGGTGCATATATTGTCCCTCTGGATCTGAAAAAAATTTTCAAACAAGTCACCTGGATGCCGAGTGACAGCTCAACAATTCCAGAGCTCTTGACTGCACTTAGGAACACCATCTAGGGTCTCATTACAGCCTGCCATTAAAAAAAAAAACAACATAAAAACCAGCATTAAGCCCTACATACAAAAGCCTTAACACCTTTGAGATTCCATCTGTTCAACTACCACTCCCGCAGCCTGTCCCAGACAGCTCCGGTCACCCCTCTGACATCCTTGCCTGCTGCTGAGGGGGCTGTACGGTCTGTACCTAAACAGTCCAGGCAAAGCAACGTTAACCACAGACTCTTAGTGCTGTTCTTCCCCTGACTGACACCGCTGTGCCCCCAGGCAGAGCGGTTCCAACCCAGGTACATGTGCAGACTGACACGCCAGAGAGTAAGAGAAGAGTGCTCTAAAGAGCGCCAAAAAATGAAATCCAAAGGGAGCTGAAGTGCCACAAGAGTGCGGTGAAGTACACAAAGGGACTCGGAAGACATTGTTACAGAGCGTAGAGGAACTAGGAGGGGGCAGAGTAACAAAAGCAGCCTTCAGACACAGTGAGGGCCCTGGAGTCTCTGGAGGGCATCTGGGCAAACTACAAACGACTGAGAGAACAACTAAACGGAGACACCCTCGATGGCATGTAGCAAAGAAATGAGGGAGGCTCTGACAGAACAGGAGAGAGAGAAAAGGAGATCGAGTGCTACAAGGTGCTGTGGAGATCGAGGGAGGTCTCAGCAAGCACTGTGACCGTGAGGAGAGCGATCACGGCGGCGGGGATAAAAGGCTGAGGAACAACAAGGAGGAAATCGGGTGATCGTCTGAGCAGAGTACAGACGGTCTGAGGTGGCTGGGAACTAAACACGGGAATCCCAGCCAGCAGAGAGGAACAAACGAGTTCATTTGCGGCTCAAAGACAGCCCCACCTAAAGTGCTACAGGACAGAACCAGACCACAAGGAAGGTCTTGGGAGGCACTGACTGGGAGAAGAACTGTCCTGAGGGAGCCAGAGAGACAGAAAAAGGACTGGGGACATGATGATTAAATCCTGAGGGTATCTGAACCACGTACGCATGTCATCAGAGAGCCAGGGAACGAACAGAGGCAGCTAGAGGGAAGAGAGGACAGAATGACTGGGCTGGGTCACACATCTGGACTCGGGAAGTCCTCTGAGTGAACGAGATGGCTGCCAGGTCTGGTACGAGGCTACAAGTCTGCTAAGGGCAACCTCAAAGGCATCGATAGGCATCACGACACCATCAGAGAGGTCCTGATTGGGCCAAAGGCACCAAAGGCAGCTCAAGGACATAAGAAGGAAGTCCGGACGGGATCTGAACAGTACAGATGCCATCGGGAGGCTGGGACCAAGCGGAGACACCCTAGATGGCAGGAAGGATGATTAAGAGTGCTCCGAGGTACAAACACACCTGAGTTTCTGAGGGAATGAGAGAGAATCAAAGTCTGCTACGGAGCTAAAACAGGGCTGTGGTACACAAAGAAGGTCTCAGGAGGCATCCTAGGTGGCATAAAGAAGAAGAAGAATGCTCTCTTTGGGGAACAGAGATCTTAGGAGGAGAGGTGCTATTGCAACAAAACAAGTCCAAAGGAGACTTACGGGGCTAAAGGTGTGCTGCAGGGATCGTCCAAGACCTCGGGAGACTTCGTGACAGTAGCAGAGGACAGCCAAAAGAATGCTCGAGGACATGATGAAGAAGTCCAGAGGGGATTTGAAGAAACTACAGGTGTCCTCAGGGGACCAGGTAGGTATCCTAGCTAGCACAGAGGACAACAGGAGCATTCTGGAGATGAAAGATGGCATCAGAGAAGAGTGTCGGGAAGGAAGAAGGGTGCAGAGTGCACCATGCTGCCAAAAGAGGGCTGTGGGGCACGAGGTTGGCCTCAGTAGGCACGATGACAGCAGGAGCAGGGTGCTGAGACTGAACGAGAGACAGGAGGCGGCTCTAGGACACAGCGTAAAAGTCAAGGTGTTCCAGCAAGGTACAGATGTCCTCTGGGGATCAGCGACTGGAAGGAGACATCCAAGACAGCAGTGAATACAGCAGTGAATACTCTAAGAGAGCTCTGGGACACAGAGTAAGCCTGAGGGAGGAGTCTGTCTGCGTAAGAGATACAATCCCCCAGCTGGGCTTTTTTTAAATACAATTTTTAAAAAACATTGACTATTTCAACATTAAATACAACCTGAAATAAAATTTTAAAAACCCCACACATATAAGGTTAGACACATTCAGAAACGGATGCTCATTCAACATCTACTCAATCCCCTCCTCACCCCAAACATCCATTTCCCTGCCCACCTGCCACAGCAGCAGATCACCCAGTTCTAAACCTACCCCTGGAACTGCCTCACCCTGCACCTTGACGACGTCCCTCCTTCCACATGGCCCCACGGTGTCAGCCTTCCTCACCAGCAGCTGATGAAGATGTTTCACAACCGGCACCACTCCCACTCCTCCTCCCCTTGGATTTGTATGCTCCGGGAAAACCCTGCTCCAGGATTTGCTCTGGGGAGCCAGGCAGCCCTGTGTCACCTGCAGAACACAAAGCAGTGCACAGCAAGGTGCAGTCAGAACCCACAGCGAGCGCTGCAGGGGAGCACAAAACCACAACAACCGATGTGGGAGGGCTTGAGGGCGAGGCCCATAAGGACATGGGGGTGAAGTGCTGGAGGGGAGGGACCTCTATGGAAACAGAACTTTCAAGAGCAGAGCTGTCGTTCTGGCCCAGGTCTCCTCCGCAAAGGCAACCCTCCAGAAACATCTGTGACGCAAATCACACTTTAAACTCCGCTCACGAGACGGGGAGTGCTCAATGGGCTCCTTTCCAAAGCAGCAAGGAATCAAGAGACCCTACAGACACCTACGAAGGTGCACGCCCAGCACGGAGAGCCCACGGGGCAGAACAGAGACGTGAGGAAGGCACCACAGACAAGACAGAACATGGACAGCACAAATGACACGAGGACACAGACACAGGCCAGAATATTCACACCCTGTGGGACAGACCCTGCTATCCTCCCCCAGACTTACGGAAGCCTAAATAGCCCTCTCCACAATCCCGATGTTAGAGCCTCTGCTGGACCCACCCTACCCACTGTTTTTGCCCCTTGACTTAACCTTCAGAGAGCACGGGCCAGAATCCATCCTCATCAGGAGCACATCACCTAACCGGGACGCTCCTGCATTCACCTGCACGACAGAGCGCCGCCAGTCACCAACTCCTCGGAAGTGCCATGCTGCCCCCAAAAAGCCGGAGTTGCACCAGCATCTCCCGCAGAAGCCAGAAAACCAGAGAGATAAAGAATCTGTCATACTCGGAAGCAATCACTCACTCTGTGGCTCCTGCCCTGCTGCTCCTCTCTCCTACCAACTCACCTCAAACCCTCCGCCGTTTGAGGACCCTCCGCCATCAATTCAAGGGGTGCTGCAGGCAGTCAACGCCCCAGCTGAGTGCAGCTCCTGCTCCTCACAGCCGCAGAGAATCGTGGCTCTGGCAGATGCCGGCTCCAGATAGCGGACACCCCCCGTCTCACTCCAGCTCCTGCTGGCCACAGGTCTGGCTCGGTGACGCTTCAGCTCTGCGCTGAAACTCTGCTCCATTTCAGCTCTTTCTCCAGCTACCGGCAACAGCCTGGACTTTTGACAAGGCTGTAAATCAATCACAGTCAGAACTTGACTATTAGGAGTAAACATCTTCCTTGTACATGGTCTAAGTATTCATTACTTTGTACTATTAATCAGTTCGTAATTCTTCTAAGCAGCGTAGAAAGAAGACCTGAACTCGAAGAGGGCACGTAGGGTCTGAAAAGCGTGTTTCCCCCCGGAGACCACCTCAGACACGGAGTTTGGCCTGGCACACGCCGGCCTCCCAAGCTCCGGGGTCCGATGCCACCCCGACCCCCGCCCCCTACCACACACACCTCAGCCTCTCACCTGCCTGCAAAACCAGCCAAACCGGCTGCTGCTCTTGGCCCCCAAACCAGCCGCCTCAGTGCTTGTTTCCAACACCAAAAACCCGGTCGCTGAGCCTCTTCTCAAGTCCCCAAAATGCAAGACTTGACCTCTGTTTCTGAGCCCAAATCCACACAACTCCGTCTGTTTCTGAGCCCCACAATCAGCCGCGCGAGTCTGTTCTCAAGCCCCAGGAACGCAGAACGCTGTCTCCGTTTCTGGCCCACAAAACAGCTCTCACCCTGTCTGCTCTCTGACCCCTTTGCAGTCCCCACGGGTGAGGCCGAGGGGTGGGGGGGAACGTAGCCGCCCCACAGCCCCGCACCCCCAGATCGCCACGTGCAGGTTTGGGAAGCGCTGGGGAACTGCAGAGGGCCCGGACCCACCTCTCTGGGGGCAGCACCCGCACAGGCCGGGCATCGCTTCATTAGTTCCAGTTCAGGTTTTCTTTCTCCAGCACCGTCAGCGCCGCACCCCAAACCCCCCAGACTGAAGGCCCCCCCAGGGCAGCCGTGCCCGGCCACGTCCGCTCAAGAAAGAGGCAGCCGCACGGACCGTTATTGCCGCGGGTCGGCCCGGCCGGAGCCCCGCCACTCACCTCCACCGCGCATGCGCTCTCCCGGGCCGGAGGCACACCGCGTCTCGGGGAGCCGCGGGCAGCCCGCGGGAAACCGCCACGAAACCGCCCCTCGGGCGGGGCCGCGCCGGTACCGGGGGCTGTGCCGTGCCGCGAGCGCCGCAGCTGCGGGGACCGAGAGCGCAGAAACTACAGCTCCCGGCGTGCCCCGCGGAGCCAACATGGCCGACCGGAAGCGCCCCCTGCACGTGACTACGGCGCCGCCCGCGGCAGCCCTCCCGCCTCTCTGACCCTGCGGGGACACCGTCCTTCACGCCCCCCCCCCC